TTGCGTGACTGAAAGTGGATCTGCAAGGTCCATAGTGAAAACCAGCCCCTGGCACCATGTTGCTCTCAGCATCGCTTTACTGTTGCACCAAGAGCTTTGCTGTACAAAGAAAGCACAACGGAGTCTGTTACTTCCTCCATTTTATAAGCAGGTAAATTAAAGGTTACAAAGACTGTAATTCGCTTCAGGTCACGGAGCGTATCAGGGCTGGAGTGAGACCCGAGAGCCCTAGCTGTCAGTCCCTTGCTCCAACTTCTGCATGATGTGGGATTCATTTCCTTTGTTATACATAACCTTGTTTATAACCTCTGTTTCATGATTCAGCTTTTCTGCAGTCAACAACTGATCACCGTCAAAGCAGGGCAGCATCAGATTTCAGGAGGAAGATGCAATGGGAGGCTGCAGCTCAGAGAAGTTCCTTGCAAAGGGCAGTTTGACTAATGAAATGAGGGGTTTCTCGCCAGAGGACCGCTCTCTTTGGAGAGGAGTTCTCCCTGAGATCGCTGTGCCAAATTCTTAGCTGTCTGGAGCGTCTGTTGTGCAAATCCCCACCCACTGCTGCTGCCCTGCCAGAAACACCAGTGCATCTCATCATTGCGACTCTCGCACTCTGTGCAGGCCCAAAGGTACGGACAAATTTGGTTTCCCCGGTTCCTTTCCTCCATCTTGCCTGTAGGTCAGAACATCAGAACAGCTCACGAACATCACCACTCTCCTTGCCCTTGACGACCATATCGCCAAAGTTTGCTCTCTGGTATACTATCTTGCCTGAGAATATAAGGCAGTGATTTTTTACTACTGTTTTACTGGACCGGATATGTGTTGAGGCATATAAAAATAAAACTGCCCGTGCTACCAGGTTTCCTATAGTCACAGTGCCCGGCATTTTGGAGGGGGCAGCTGCCACAGGCAGTGGGGATAGGAGGGGACAGGACTGGCTGGCCACCGGGTTGTTACTGTGTCCTGGCTCTGAGTGTGGCCTATCTCCAGGCCAAACAGGCAAGGGCCACTGAACGCCACTGTGCAGTGTGCCACCTACGCAGCTATTTTCACCCCATTCAGCAGGTGAGGAAACTGAGGCACAGAACGATCGGACTGCATTTCCCAGAAGCGGCTGGTGATTTTGGGACAGGACTGGCTGCCCACCGGGTTGTTACTGTGTCCTGGCTCTGAGTGTGGCCTATCTCCAGGCCAAACAGGCAAGGGCCACTGAACGCCACTGTGCAGTGTGCCACCTACGCAGCTATTTTCACCCCATTCAGCAGGTGAGGAAACTGAGGCACAGAACGATCGGACTGCATTTCCCAGAAGCGGCTGGTGATTTTGGCCAGTGGGATTGACTTGCCTTTTTGTCTCTGATGGGTGAGTCCGAATCATCGGCCACTTGAGAAACTGCTGGCCCATGTTATATGCCCATGGCCAGGCAGCCACTCAGCGGCAGAGATATAAACAGAAGCTGCACCCCTGAGACACAATCTTGTGATGTAAACTGGAGATCGTCCTTCCTTTTTTAAGAGCTAATCCTTTGTCCTTGCAGCAAGAGGAATTTTCCATAAATGTGATTTTTTTACACATCATTGTGTGTTTAATGTTTAACAGTGGGATCATTATAGTTTTATTAGCAGGATGTAACGCTTTTTCATCTTCAACTGACTTTGCAAACATTAACTAATTGATTTCAGCTATGAATCAGTGTGGGGGTAACTAAGGAGAGAGGTTAAATGCTCTGCTCTTGGTCACAGAGGAAGTCATTGTCAGAACAGGGTGCAGAAATCAGGGCTCCCAGTTTGCTGCCTAGACCGTGAACACCAGGGGTTTTATTACAGTCATTTCCATTAATGCCGCTTTTAGGGAGGGCCACTCTGTGTGCAATAAACAACCGTCGTCTACTTCTTTTGGCTTCTGTTTGAGCTCACACTTGACAAAACATAGTAAATGTCGCTGATCCCCACAAAATGCTGATCTAAAAAACCTGCAATTGACTTTGTTTTCTTCAGCGATCCAATAGTTGGTATTTGCTGATTGTTTCCGGCTCAACCTAACAAAATTCATAATTAAAGACGTCTGTATCTGTGTGAATTAGAAGCTAAAGTCAGAAATTACCGGGGCTGTGCGCAATCGAACTCTTCGTAGCGTTTTTAAGGGCCACATTGGAGAAGACTGACTTGAAACATCCTGAAGACCTCTAGTAGGAAATTAGCTCCTCGTTTGCAGCATGCGGAACATGTACGATGGCTTTATGATTTACGCTCTCATCTGCTTCACGTTGCGCCTGTTTTCCCTTGCGACTGTCCTGGCGTACGCAATTTTCTGTTGCAAAATAGGAGCGAAAATGAGCACTGCAGCGTGGAAGAGCTGTGTCACGACAGAGGTAAGGGTGGCCAAGGCTGGAGGGGACACAAGCCCTTGGTGGGGCGGGGAACACGTGATGGTGACTCTGGGGACACAGGGGACGCAGCCCCTCAGTGGGCGGATGCAATAGTGGCCTGGGAGACGGAATGCAGTGGGGCGATGGGATGGTGGCTTTGGGGACAGGGGGGGTCGCAGCCCCTTGGCAGGGAAGCACGGCTGGGGCTTTGGGGACAGAGAGGATGCAATAGGGGGACACAGCAGTGGCTTTGGGGATGAAGGAGAAGCAGTGGGGAGATAGGTCGGTGGCTTTGGGGACACAGCCCCTTGGTGGGGGAACGCAACAGTGGCTTGGGGACAGAGGGGATGCAGTGGGGGGACACAGTGGAGGCTTTGGGGACAGGGCAGATGCAACCCCTCAGTGGTGGGATACGATGGTGGCTTTGGGGACAGAGGGAACGTGGTAGGGGTATGAGTGGGTGGCTTTGGGGACTGAGGGGACGCAGCCG